CTAGTATCATATGGGAGCATGTAAGTTGCAAATCAGACAACCAGATATTGTTACATAACAACAAGCATGGCAGTTGGACTATCTTGCTGAGGAAGGTCTGCCATAAATGATTAACTTGTCGTTCATAACAAACATTTGTGTAGCAACAGGAATGTGTACCAGTGAGACATTTCGCAGGCGCACTATATCTCAGATCATTACAATTTGATAACGTGAAAAGAGGTTTTAGTTTTAATGTACTTTGTTAAAATGCACGCCCACAATCAATCAATAAATAAAATCAACATGAAAATGAAAATACGGGGTCTTATTGCAAGTCAACTAATATAGCAAAGGTTAAAAAATATTGCACAGACTTTTATACTGCTTAAAATAGTTCAGATTGAGTGCGGTTTAACACATGGTGAGTGAGTTCAACCAAGAAAGAAATGAGCTACAGTGGTTAAATCACAATCATCCATGACTAGCATCCTCCTGAGGTGACAGTATTAGTTTTCTCTGCAAAAATATGAAAGATTTACAGGACAAAAATAACGCTTAAGCAAAAATGTCATTTTTATTTGTGATCATTGATCATTTTAATGAACCTTAAATAACCTTGTTGCTTAATTTGATGTACAATATTCCATATATTTTTCAAAAAGCTAAAAATACATGTTCACCAACCTACACTATAAAAAAACACGGTCTTACCCCCTGGCGTGGTGGAGAAGAGCGTTCCTCCTGGGGTCTGACTGTAGCAGTCTGGGAGCTGGGACCAGTCTTTGAGGTGCAGGACACGCGTGGGAATGGGGCAGCTCTTGCTCTGCTGCGTGTTGGCGGACATCGTGGCTGAAATGCGCTCAAAACTCTGTGCCACTGAACAAGATGATATACAAGGGCTCTGAAGGCTTGCTTCTATCCCACACTCGTGTTTGGTTTAGATCAAACGTAGCGCAACAAAGTTTCAAACTACACAAAAAACGACAAAGATATTTCTAGCGTGCTGCGGACAGCGCTGGTCTCGTGATACTCGCTGAAGAGAGGCTGTCCGTCTGTCTGTCTGTCTGTCCGTCCGTCCGTCTGTCCGTCCGTCTGTCCGTCTGTCTGTCTGTCCGCGGTGGTGCAGCCGAGCGCTTGGGGCTGAGGGCTGAGGGCTGAGGGGGTATTTAACAACAGCTCAGGCTACGTG